CCTTTTCTATAAAACTCTGCATTTCTTCTGCCCTGTCTTACTGTTTTAATAATTTCTGTATAACTGGAAGTCGTCGCCCCCACACACTTATTTAAAGAGTTCTCAGAGTTTAATGGAAACAGAGGAAAGATACTAAAGAAAAACTTTGCATTGTACCAAATATACCAAGATTTTAAGTCTTTTGTACATATATATTTCTTGGAACCCTTTAATGTCAAAAATGCCCCTGTGATTTGGTTAATCACTCCAAACTTATAACTCTGTGGACGTTTTGTCTGTATTTTATAAAAGCCATGCAGCTGATTCGACTGTTTTGTGCCTTGTTTCCTGTCATAAAGAATGAGTCAATAAAAGAAACCATCAGAGAGGCCACCTAATCTACTCGTTGTGGACGTGCATACGCTGCGCTTTGAGTTAATTGAGGGGGAAAAAGTCAGACAGTTTAGTCAGCACATTACTCAGCTGATGAATGACCAAAATGTATTTTCTACACAGAGTCATCAGGGTAGTTTTTTGTTTGTTTGTTTTAAACTAACCAGTGCTTTTATGAAGCATAAATTGGCCACTGTGTACGCTTCGCCAGACTGAGAAATTATACAGTGGTAACTCAGGGTGTCTGCTTTTTCCCGCTTGGTGTCCGGTGTCTTCCTAGCTGTCTGAGGTCCACTTTGTCTTTCTATTTGTGGCGACTCACCAGCTACAAACTGTGGCTATGCAGGCGGCAAAACAATAGCCGGAGAAGCTGCACACCAAGTCCTCAATTACATGTGAGGATGACATTTTTTATCTTTGGAATATGTGGAGCCTGAATGGTACATTTACAAAAGTTCAACTTTTCAGAAATGGTTCTTTTCAACATAATTGGCACCAAAATTGTTGACACTGCGGTTAAAATAATCTCCCCGGAGATCTACAGATGCAGGTTTACTAAGGCCGATATGTGCTTTTTGTTTTTTTGGGGCCCATTTGTGAAGCTGACGTAGCTTTTTCTTCCTCCATTTCATAAAAATTATGCAATGATAAAAACATTAATATTTCCCAATTCTAAACTTAAACAAAAAGGAAACATTTATTGACAAATAAAACTAAATATTACCAATGTATAGCAAATGGAGTGAGCGACAATGCAGACACTTTTCTCTGTCTCAAGGCATGGCTGCTCAATGCACTAGTGAATCAAACATGAATCTGTGAGCTGATACAAATACTATGAAAGAAAAAATGCTAATATTGGCCCAAAATGGCTGATGTATCGATCCAACTCTAAATCTCAGACTGATAAAGTGAAAAAGAAGTCGATCTTTGATCTGAGTACATTATATTTTGATAGGGGGGAAAAAGTACCACTTGCCAATTACCTTGCCACAATTACTGTACCAATAACTCCCTAATACGTCTCTCCTTGTGTTATAAACCTGATGTTACACAGAGGCTAATTCCGCTCAGAACCACTCTTTGTTACAGGGAAAGAAAAGAAATAAACGTGCAAGAAGGTACATACCTATTGAAAAGAAAACATAAAACTGTTTTAGCATTTCCAAAACTTGCTCAAATCTACAGTTGGGAAACAATAACTAAACAGTTTGAAACAAGTTAGGCTGTGACAAACTCCACTCCTGGAGAGAAATATCAGCTGTGCTGCTGCCATCAACACCTTTATTTATAGATTATAGAGGTTGGCCTGTTTTTCAGTGTAGTCCTGTTTCTCTGACTGTGACTGGCTGGATGTGCTCTCCTTTTCGTCTGACATAGGAGCTGGTTCTGAGCTCGTTTGCCTGGCTGTGAGTTTCCTGGATGGTATCTCTGCTGGTTTCTGTATGTCTGCTTCTGTCTTCTTGAACCCCAGTCGGCCTCGGCAGATGGCTGCTCACACTGAGCCTGGTTCTGCTGGAGGTTTCTTCCTGTTAAAAAGGAGTTTTTCCTTTCCACTTTCACTACAAGCATGCTTGGTGTGAGGGTTGCCTTCGAGCCAATGAGTCGATGCAATCAACTGGTTTTCCTTAGAAATTTCAAACAATCTTACTGTACAATCTGGTTGAATTGTTGGGTTGTGAATTGGGGCTATATAAATAAACTCAATGAATTAAATGAAGACCAGAGTTTGTGTAGCCACTTTTCACATTGAGAAAGATGGCGAAGAACCTCACCAAAGGGGGCATTTTAGGTCTCCAAGTCTCTGGAACAGCTGATTTAGTATCAAATTCAAATGTTTTCCAATTTGCAATACTGAAGGGTGCTGTATATAGCATTTCGTATACATCCAGGTCCTGTACAGCTCATTGAATTTGGATAAGCGTTCTAATGAGGTTACTTTGTTTGACTAAAATAAATAAAACAACAGTGAGTAATGTTTATTTATATCGCACCTTTCTCATACGAGCGTCACAAAGGGCTGTACAATATGAGGCATAAAATACAAAGCAGCACCATATAAAATACATATAGACAAAATAAAAGTGTTCTCCCTTTTGGTGCCTCTATTATGATCTTAAGAGAAAAGCTTAAATGGATTTAAATGTATTGGAATACTGGCAAATAATACATAAAACTTTCAATTTCGTTATACTTTATCACCTATACTGTCTGTTATATTTTTGACCAAATATTACTACTTGTTTGGAAGAAAAAACAATATTCAACTCAACACGTTGGCTAATATAAACAGAAAAATTTCTTCTTTTGAAAATTAGGTTGTTGCCTACCTTTTTCCACTAAGTTCTTTTGGATATATCAATTTACCTTATTTTAATGTCTTAATTAAGCCACAAACAGTGCAGCCAATATGAATGATGAAAAATAATCTAAAAAAATACAGATAATAGAAAGGCAAGGAACTATGCGGTAGAGAGAAGGTATAATGAAAATGGAAAACAATTACTGTTGTAGTCTAATATATAATGAGCCTCTTCATATTTTCTTAATATTTAACAAATTTGGTAGGCACTTCCCCTAAAATGTAGTCACTGAAAAAGTGTTTTTCTGTTTTTGTAACCGGGTTTCACTTTCAAATTTCAGTTTATCTAAATTAAATTGAAATATTTTTAACAGAATACATTTTTCTCCCACAAGTTTATAGTGATTCATTCTTAACTTTTCTTCTCAGCAGTAATGTTTTGCTGAATGAAATAATTGCCAAGCTATAACTTCTGTCTGAAAAAACTTTGGGGAAAAATGAACTGTTTATACCAGCATGATAGCAGCCTATACACAAGGCCCCATTATTCACAATTTATGGTGTTTTATTTCATTGTAGCACTCAAGCTGAAGTGGGATAGTGATTTTGTCCAAGCGGATTTTCACCTTCTTAAAAATGACAGTTTGTACATAAATACCTATTTTTAACGCTTTAAGATGCAATGACACCATCTCATACTTTTACAGAGCACTAGCTAAAATAATCTTAAAAGCAGTTTGGTTTGGCGCCTAAATTCAGACAATCTACTTAATTTATTTGCATCCATGTAGCCTGCCAAACAAGCACTGTCATTATCATTAACAGAGGTGAGTAGAGTAGAATAGAAGCAATACTTTAAAATAAATGTACTTGGAGATAAAGAAAATAGTGCAGTCAAATGACTACTAAAAATTATTTTACAGAAAAATGTTCAAGTAAATTATACTAGTTTACCCACTTCAGTATATGAACTAATTAAGTTCAGTTTCTGAAAAAATATGATGCTCAGTGAGGAGGTATTATTTATTCATCAGAATCAGTGGTAAACAGACACCACTGCAAAATTGGGACTTTCATCCAAAAGGAGTTCAACATACAAACAGATTTTTCTGTGATTATAAACGAGAACAACCTGGAGCTCAAAACCCTAAAAACAGTTTAGGTGGTTGTGGACTTCAAGAAGAATTCAGCCCCACATATCCCCATCACCCTCTGTGACTCCACAATTGACACTGTGAAGTCGTTCCGCTTCATGGGAACTATCATCTCACATGACCTAAAGTGGGAGATGAACATCAACTCCCTCACAAATAAAGCCCAGCAGTGGATGCACTTCCTGCGGGAGCTGAAAGAATTCAACCTGACAAGGACAATGATGGTGCACTTCTACTCCTCCATCATTAAGTCCATCCTCACCTCCTCCATCGTCATCTGGTACGCTGCTGCCACCTCCAAGGACAAGCGAAGACTGCAGCGCGTCATCCCGTCTGCAGAGAAGTTGATTTGCTGCAATCTTCCATCTCTCCAGGATCTGTACACCTCCAGGACTCTGAGGCGTGCAGGGAAGATTGTGGCTGATCCCTCGCACCCCAACCACACACTATTTCAGATACTTCCTTCTGGCAGGAGGCTGCAGTCCATCATAAACAAAACCTCACGCCACAAGAACAGTTTCTTCCCATCCGCTACCAGCCTTATCAACAAGACCCAGGGACCCCCGTGACACTGCTTGTCTCCCTCCCTCATTCAGGACCTAGAAGCTACACCAACAAAGCATCTCCAGACCTCCTATGTTACATTAGACTTAAAATTAGACAGACTTTATTTATCATTTTGTACACAGAGTGCATACAAAAAAAAAATTATTTCAGTACAGCTCTCAAGACATCTTCATCTTTTATATATATTTAAATATATATATATATATATATATATATATATATATATATATATATATATATATATATATATATATAATTGAATTTATCTGCACCATCAACCCCAAGTCAAATTACTTATAAGTGCAAACCTACTTAGCAATAAATCTGATTCTGATTTCTTAGTTAGCAAATCAATGTAAGCTCATTGTTCTGTGCCTTTTCTACACATTAAATATAACTATTCTATGTTTCAAGCTATACATTAGTATTTTTTCCCCTTCTCTTTACGTTCTGGTTTGTTTTATGATTGCCAGTCACACTGTCAGTAAGGCCTGCACAATTTTATATATTTTATTGTGCTTGTATCTGGTTTTCTGTAATATTTGAAAGTCAATTCAAAATGATGCAGCTGCTTCATTAACAAAAAAAAAAAATGTGTGTTTCAGTTTTCTTCTAGTCTTCAGCTGCTTGGTGTTGTCAGTGTTCTCAACCATCCCTGACCACCACAAGATGGCCAACCAAGGCCTCTTTATCCTGGTAAGACCCCGTACTTAAAACTTTTGACACATACAGTTGAAATTTATTAGCACACATTTTCATGGTCTCACTTACTCCTTTGTAAACATATATGCTTGTATGTGTACTGTGTGGTTTGATCGTAGAGGCACTTGTGTAAGCAGTTGAGAGGATTCAGGTGATGTTGACTTTGCAGGAAATCACAGACATGATGCACTAATCCTAAAAGCCATCCCTTAATCGCATCCCTTCTTCTGTCATTTAGCTGCTTTAGTGAAAACTAATGGATGCTCGCTTTTCCTTCCAAACCTGACTCATCCACCTCCTCTCTTCTCTTCTCCTACCTTACTCATCATTATGTGTCTTTTAACAGCAATGTTCCTGACTTTCACTTTCATTCAGTTTACTCTGTCCATCAATCAACTGGGCCATTAGCAGCCAATTTGCCTTCAGTGGACTTTACCTACACTATAGCCTTCATTTGATCAGATGGCATTTTGGTATGGGCAGCCCATAAATCTACAATAACAAATGTAAACAAACACAAAGCTGCGAATTACATTTTGTTCTCATTTATTATAAATAACCATTTCAATTCCTCTAATTTAATATTTTCGAACTGTGTAAGGGTGTATGAAGGATTTTTAAAGTCTTATTCTGAGTAAGCATAGAAGATATGCTTTGGTACAGTAACCTTAAATGAAAAAGATTTATTGGTACTCACAAAATATTTGATACATACATTTAAGATACATACAGGGCATAATGTAATACCTTTGTATTTGAAAAGAGAAAAACACAACTACTCTTTGTGGGAGTAGTACTAGAATATTATCTAGATTTTATAAATTGGTTTTAGCATTAATCTAGAATAAAACACTGCAAAATTCAAAGGTAGCATTGAAGTAAGTATTCAGATAATGCATTTTATACCTGTTCTTCTGTTTGTGAAGCAAACTTGAAGATCCACCTTTACAGATATACTGCTTGTATCTTCATTGATGTAGTTGTATAAAAATGTTGCCTAATTGGAGCTTCCTGCTTAAAGTAGTAGCCAAATCTGATTGTGTTTTAAGCATTAGGAATTGTGTTTTAGCCAGCTGTCACACAGTGCACACTGACATGCAGGGGAGGGATAGAGCTGCATTTGCCTGACGTAAAATGCTTCATACAGTTACAATTGTTCTAGCATTTTTATGGACCCACTGGCACAGTGTAACATAATTTTGAAGCCAAAATTATTTTCAAAATCTTGATATTACTCAATGCTGGTCAATAAATACATTACCTGACTATTCCGTTGGTGTAGCTCCTGCCAAATAATGACTTTGTTTTAGTTTTACAGCTAGCGGACTGCTGACATTGATGACCTAATAAACGGGATTACCAACAACAGAGCAACACCCCATTGGTGTGGCAGGAGAGCACAGAGAATATCCAAACTTCTTTTATTTAAACAGACATTACAAATAATGCACACCATTTAAACTTGTCAAATGAAATAACAGCAATTGAGCAATATGCCAATGGCTAGATACAGGAGCTCTGCCCTACAAGAAACCTCCTTCTGGCCTATTTAACACAAAATAATACCATAAAGTACAAAAAACAGCCCTCTAATATGTATCTTAAAAAAAAAAATCTATATATATATATATATATATATATATATATATTAGGGATGCACGATATTGGGATTTTGGCCGATATCTGATATGCCGATATTTTAAAACTCATGTAGCCGATAACCGATATCAATACCGATGTTAAAGCTGGACAAAAATAAGTAGTCATTGAAAATAGCAGTTTTGTTATCAATTTCTGACACTTTGAAAAATAATATACTCAAATATATTTTCATATGCTGATATCAAATTGATTTTTAAAAACGCGGTATCGATCTATTTTACTTTCAAAATCTCGTGAAATTTCATCGTTCTGTTACAAACTCTCGTGATATTTTGCTAATTCTTGTGAGATTTTGTTAGTGAAATAGATCGATACCGCGTCAATATATCAACATATAAAAATATGGCAAAATTTAGTGAATTTTCGGGGGATTTCGTAGCATAACGATGACATATAGCAATATTTCATTAGTAAAAGAGATTGATATGGTGTTTTTAAATGGCAATATATCAGCATATGAAGATATTGTGATATTTTAATGTATCAATATTTTTTCCCTCGTCTTTAGAAGTTTTTAAGTCTGTAAAAAAGAAGTTTTTGAGGAAGAAGAAGAAGTAGTATTTTTTTTTTTTTTTTTTTTTTAGAATTTAGAAACTCAGAAGCTGATCAAATATCGGGTTAAATATCGGTGGGGTAGCCGATGTCCGATATTCAGTTTTAAGGCCGATACAGGCCGATACCGATAGGGGGCCGATTATATCGTGCATCCCTAATATATATATAGATATCTTTTGTGACAGTAAATCAGATTAATTGTGATTAATTGATTATTGAAATAATTGTTGAATTACTAAAACAGTCTTCAACTGACAGAGTGACCAACCTTGAGGTGCAGTTTTACCAAAATTGTAAAAAAAACCAAAAAACTTTTGTCTATAAATATGCACTATCCAGAACAAAAATCTCCTTTTAGGAACCTTTGGTTATCCGATTATTAATCGATCGATTAATCAAAAAATAATCAACAGTTAGTTTGTTAGTTGTAATTGTTTGTTTATATCACAACACATCAATTGAGATACAATATTGGCTGCCTATAGTTGCCTTTATTGCTCAAATGTTTTACCTTATTTTAATATTTCTTAATCTGATGCTACAATATGCAGTTTATTGGTCTACGCTTCTGAGAGCTAACTCACCTCAACATGAGGAACAGTTGGGGATTTATCTATCTGTATAATTTGTTTTATCATTATAATAATCTAATTGCTCGAAGGCAGTTATGAGCATGTATAGAACACTGAGCTTTTAAAACATGATACAACTACTGATGAAGAAAAAAACCTATAGCACTAGCTTTACAGCAACTAAGCTTTTACAGCACCAGTGCTATAACATAACTTTTTAGATCTTTCAATCACCATGTTTCCTTAGAAACCCTAAGGGGTTAGCTTCCTCTTAGAAAGGCCCAGTCTGTTTTGATTGGTCAGCTTCAACAACAGCAGCAAAGACCCCCGTTTTCACACAATATTGTTTGATCTTTTCTGTAATTTATGTTCATTGAAGGAGAGATGGGAAACTTTTTTGCTTCCTATAAGAAGGTATAAAGGGTGACCAGCCTGATTTCATATTTAAGTGTTGCTTGTTAAAATGCTAAACATGTGTTTGCTGTAAATACAAAGACTTACCTGCAATGTAAGAACAAGCATAAAGAATGCAATTACAAAAAAACAAAAAAAACAGCGAATGTGTCATTTTCTCATGGATGTTAACTAGATGTTAAAAAAAGTGAAAAAGTTATGTTTGTGAAGCATGGATATAGATTGCAAAATATTTTTTTTTTGTATGTGATTTACAGGAGTTTGTAATGATCGTAGTGTTTGGCTTGGAGTACTTCATCAGGATCTGGGCCGCTGGCTGTTGTTGCAGATACCGGGGATGGCAGGGACGCCTGAGATTTGCCAGGAAGCCCTTCTGTGTCATAGGTGAGAGTCTGTGTGTGAATAGTTAATCAAAGCCAATAGTTCTCTCTGTTTCTGTGGACAACATTTGTAAACATCATCTCAATGTGACCTTTTCCCTTCTTTCTGCGTCCGTCTGCCTGGTTCCCTGCAGACTTCATCGTTTTTGTGGCGTCACTAGCAGTAATTGCTGCAGGGACGCAGGGCAACATCTTCGCCACGTCAGCCCTGCGCAGCATGCGTTTCCTGCAGATCCTGCGTATGGTTCGTATGGACCGACGAGGAGGCACCTGGAAACTTCTTGGCTCCGTCGTTTATGCTCACAGCAAGGTGGAAAAGAAAAACTGCTTTGTTTTTTTGCTAAATAATAACTCTTTAAAATATATTAGAGGAATAAAAGGTTGTATTAAGCATCCCACTTGGGTGGGATGTCTTGAAGCTAACTGAGGATTACCTGGTAATTGATTCTCCCTGTCTTTAAACATGCATCTTACTTTGAGCTACTTGCTCTGGGGTACTTCCTTCGCTGACTAAAGTAATGCATACACTATACTGTCAGCATTATGTTGTGAGCTACAATGAGGATGATTAACTGCTCAAAAAAAAAAAAAAAAAACCTTTCCAAATGCAATGATGCAACCATGTTAAAGTGCAAGCCAAAAGCAATCATGTGGTGAACATAGCCACTAATGACAGCAGGGATTTGGATGGTAAATATGCTGCTGCTAGCTGGTGTGATCCATGTCCTTTCTGTGTCTGACAGGAGCTGATTACAGCCTGGTACATAGGTTTCCTGGTGCTGATATTTGCTTCTTTCCTTGTCTACCTGGCTGAAAAAGACATCAACTCAGATTTTGTCACCTATGCAGACTCCCTCTGGTGGGGAACTGTAAGTACTGCAAAATACACCAACTTTGCAGGTTCTTTTCCTGTCCAAACACTTGTCATTCTCTTTTGGACTAATGGTGAATGCATTTTCTATAGACTTTGTATTACATTGAATGATTTTAGGGTATTTAGGGCATTTTCTTAAACATAAAACTAGAAGTTGCACAAAAAAAATCCTTAAACTCTAATTATAGGTGATTTAATCATAAACTATATTAAGGTGGTACAGGGTAATGATGCTTATTGTTTATGCAAGGTAGCTTTAGTATATGTTATTAATTACTGCTTTACTTTATTTATAAATCATGATGGCAATTTTGATGTTCCATCAACAAACCTTTGATTGTTTTATTAGGATTTTACATGATAGATAAATATGAAGCATCTATAACTTTCCTAAAAATAATACATCTAAAAGGTTTGACCCAAATTTTTATCCTGTCCATTGCAGCAATGCTTAGTAGAGGTGCTTGCTATGTTTTTTTTTTCAATCTTTTTACACGTAAAGAAAATACTTTCAGCTGATTCTTACTCAAAACAGTAATTAATGTTAGATAGGGTTTAACATATTAACAGCATTTCTAAAGTCACAGATTTTAAATCAGATTTGGTCTAGACTTCCCCTCACCCACTTTATGACATAATCAGGCTTTGATCTAGGATGTGCAATTGGAGCTCTAGCCCTAATATAGGTTCATTTTCATGCTAGCAGGAGAAGATTCAGTGTTGACTATTCTTTCACTATTAGCCTGACCAGCTTCCCCACAGCATTATGCTGCCACCATTTCACCATGGGGTTGGTGTGATCAATTCAAAGACAGGAATCTAATTTCATAGCCTATCCTGGCACTAAAATCCACGTCTTTGTTCCTTACCTGTCAGCTACAGTATGCCTCTTGTTTTTTAAATGTAAGACCAAAAGCAAACAGTTTGATCTCTTCTCAGGTGACATCACTACCAGGTATACTTTTCATTGATTAGGGGTTTTCTGAAGGCTATGATAGATTTAATTCAGGGGTATAGGAGGAAATTGGGTTGTATACAATCAGAAATCTCACTTTTTTTTCTATTTTGCAAGAGAATAAAAGAAATTGTGGCTGAAAAGCAAAATTAGAGATGTTATGGGGAAAAATAATCACATGTCATAGAGTAGTAAGACTGTATAATTAACACATTGCTGTAGCTTGTGTTTGAGACCTGGATTTCTTCACACATTCAGATAACTTTGACCACAATTGGTTACGGTGACAAGACTCCACGTACATGGCAGGGCCGGCTTCTGGCTGCTGGCTTTGCCCTTCTGGGTGTCTCCTTTTTTGCCCTACCTGCTGTAAGTTTGCTGTATGTACAAATATCTGAGCATGGTGCTTTCTTTTACAAAAGAATAATGATCGAAACCGGCTTTTTCTTTTTTTTCTCTTTAGGGAATCTTAGGCTCAGGCTTTGCCTTGAAGGTTCAAGAGCAGCACCGGCAGAAGCACTTTGAGAAAAGGAGGATGCCTGCTGCAAATCTCATACAGGTAATATGTATCCTTAATTATATATCCATAATTATTTGGGCAGTGTTGACTTTAGTTCTTTCTCCCTCTAGGCTGCATGGCGTCTCTATTCAACAGATGCAAAACACTCGTATCTAACAGCAACATGGTATTTCTACGACAGCATGTTACCTTCATTCAGGTAGGTGTTGTCATCGGGCCTCTTGGTCTGCAGTGAGCTGACTCAACAAAACCCAGAAACCTGCGGTTGTACTTTTGTATAAAACACTGGCATTAAGAGATTCACAATCTCCCAAAAGGCTAAGAGGAAATATTAAAAAGTTGGATTTGATTTTATTCTCAATTACGTGTTATAAAGCAGCATTTTGTTATTATAACCGTCTTCAGTTAAGTTGGGATCAGGGTGAGATACATAACACAGATTTAATTACACATTTTTACCATTGTTATTTAGTTACTTTGGGTTTTGAAGCATTATTTTAATTTGCCATCTTTTATTTTAATAAGCATTTTTTGCTTTTTCATGTTTAACGTAGCAATAAAAAAAAAATAAAAAAACACCTAAAATATCTGGCATTTCTTCTATTTTGATAGAAAGAATGAAAGCTTGTTGGTGACCTAACTTTTTACATTAAAGCCAAAAATGCAAGTTTTTAGGTGCAACAAATTTGTCCTGAAATTTGCATTATTTGAATAAGAGACATATTCTTGGATCAAACTGCAAAGTATTACGTGGGTTATTTTTATATACACATATCAAATTAACTGTCCACAAAAAGATTCCTCCTGAACACCATATGTCCCAGTGAATTGAAACTTCTATTGTTGATATCCAGTAGCTGTTGTCTTCTAAATGTAGGGAGGAAGAAAATGAAGATAGGAGGAGACACTACAGGTGAAAAGTGTAATCATTCATTTTTTGTTCCTTATATTGATTGTTGAGGAGTTCCAGTAACCCAAACTAATCATAATTTGGACTGTCTTGATAAATGTTTATAATCTAACAGAACTGTTGAGATATATATGATATTTAAAAAAAAAATATACTGATTTGATTAAATTTATTGGAACCAGTCTTTCTATAATGATTACTCTCATGATGCCATCAGGTATTTGTGAAGGGAAAAATATCCTTATGTAGAACAGAAATAAGTTACTGAGTAAATAAATATGTATGAAGCCCTTTTGGACTTGAATTAAGCTTATTTTAAAAGGACCATCTCCAATTAGAAACAAACTCCTTGGATTGAAAATTACCTTAAATATTTTTATTTACATTTAACTCTAAATCTGTCACAGGTTGAATTGTGGGCCTAACTTTGTTTGTGATTGGGCTAACCCTAGTCTATCTAAACACATAAACTCTAATTACTCAGAGGAAAGGAGCATGAGCCTAAACAACCCAAAATGCAAATTTTAACCTTCCATCTAATGGTTATTTGCCTTTAAAAACAGGAGTTTGAAGTACTGCCAATGGAAAAAGGGAGAACGTATAAATTATACAGCTGTTCAGTTCTACGTGGTTGAATTCAAAAGGAAAGGCTTTAATTCCACTGAATCATTTTGATGGCGTATTGTGCAGGGTTTCGTTTTAAAAAAACGAACATATTTTGATGCGTCACATTGTGCACGAAATACTAAATATATTTAGGAAGTTCTCTAGATTTATTTAAAATCTCGAATTTGAATTACATGAATGACACAAAGTAGATAGACTAAAGTTAAAGTTGACAGGAATGCCACGCTTTTCTGTTAATTGGCAGATTTTAATTTTATGACTTAAACAGTGTTTTTTGCTTCACGACAAGAAACAAAGGAGAAAAAACCCCCCACACATTTTCACAACTGCTTCTAAAACCTTCAAATAAATTTTCTGTATTTCAACATTCTTCTTAAAGTTTGACATAATTTTTTCAGTAGCAAAATTAATATTTTTTCCTCGAGGTGGCCATAATATTCCTTTGTACTTTTCATGTAAAGTATTTTTTTTATGTATTAATTTGACTAATTTTGATTTGCTTAAAAGGAGGGGAAAATTAGAAAAGTTCATCCAAAGGAAAATGTCTCCCTGATGAAAGTCGGAGTAGCCTTTGTGTTCAGGGCTCAAAATAAACTTTCTCAAAAGACAAATGAACAAAAATAGAAATTATGCTTTACTGCAAAAGCTAGAACAATATATTAATAAACCACCAGATCAAGGTAATATATATGTCTGGTGTAATATATGTATAGTTTATTCTCTGTTAATATTACACGGTTTGATGTTGGTGAATTAAATCATACTACCCCACTCCATATAGGACTTTTGGTAATTTAAGAAAGAAGCACATCCAAGAAGGAGAAACCTCCAACCAAAAGAAATAATTTCCCTTTAAACCTTTTTAATTTTCCTTCTTGATGAGAAAAGAGAGTACGTTTTGGACCCTGCATACATATACTTTCTATCATGTATCCCTCTTCTTTTAAGTGTTTTGGACCACTGAGTTGGCCTTTTTGTGGCTTTCCATTTGTTTTTGTTTTTTCATTTTTATTTGTCATGTGTTTTGTTTTTTGTTCATTTTTGTACGTGGCTGTCAGGGAACTGACGCTACTGTTCAGTCACCTCCAGCGACAACGTAGCACCAAGAAGGTTCTGCAGAACTCCTACCACACGCTGCTGTCTGGGCTCCGGCCCTACAGCTCCCCCTATTTGTCGAGGGACAGGTAGGCACCTCACCACCTCTTACAGCCCTAAAGTTCATCCAAATAGGTGGCAAATCTCTCAACAGTCACACTGATCATCAGGCACAAGTTATTTTAGGACTGTCTAAAAGCAAAATGCATGGAGGTGTGGTTCCACTAACCGTCCTATACTAATTTGAGTTCACTGTGTTTCAGGCCCTTCTGCTTTTTACCGTCTTTGTCTGCAAAGCTCATACCTTGGCCATCTCTGCCATCTCTCGCTCCTCACTCACCAGTTTCCTCTTCCTCTCCTTCTTTCCCTTATGTCCATTCTGTCCTTTTCATGGCATCCATCCTCCATCTGTTCTCAGGAAGGCAGAAGTTCCATGCAGGTTTGTTCTTCACGCCATGAGCTGGCCTTGTAAACTAAATGGTATTATTAGTTAAAGCTTATTGGTTGGGATACATTTCGATCAACTCTAAAGTATTAAAAGGTATTTGCAGGCCTCTGGATGAAGGAAGCACGGCAAGGTATTTGACTAATGAATTATTTGATAAGATTTGTCATTTGAGGTCCTGTTGTCACACGGTGATGGCTATACTTAGCGGGGAAACCCTTAACTGCTATTTGGCATCATTTTATTTGTTTATAAATAACTCTTATCACCCCCTTCTAATCGAAAAATTTCCTTCAGGATGCATATTTTCTTTGCTCTAAAATGATTTCAAATTATTAAGTTTAAAATGCCCATTTGGACCATTGAGAGAAAGAAATCACCTTGAGATGCACTGAATACAGATTTGTGACCTATTTTAAATCTTGGCTCTTGAGGTCATACTACATAAGTCATTTTTCTAAAATTAAATGCTAAATGATTTAATCAAATAGCTAAACAGCTTATGATAACTATGAACATGGTTAGTGAGCTAGCATTACTGTATAGCAACCTTTACCAAATCTGACATGTTAACAAAGCTGACAGACGTAGAAAAACTAAAAGGATAAAGCAGACCAGCCTGTTTAGCCTTACTGTTATCTGCTAAAAGTATTGTTCTCATTCATCCTTGCTGCCTGAATGAGTGCAGATATGTCAGTCAAGCATAGAAAAGTAGAAAGTATTCTTCTTAAAGTCCTCGGGTCAATCTCCAACCTGGTACTATTTAGTTGCTTTATTGATCAGCCAAGGGGAATCATTTAAGTGTCTGATCTCTAGATCGAAACTTCTCCGTCCCTTTCTCTATGTTTTCTCTTTGCTACACCTTGTCCTCATGGGTTTATTGGGTACCCAAATTGCATCCAAGGACCTCCTCTACCCTCACTTCCACCACCCCCTTTCCACCCCTCACCCTCTTTCCCTCTGCCTTGTGTGTCTCCCCAGTCAGCTCCTTTCTAAAAAGCGAGGTCTCTTCCGGATTCATGCTGGCCGCAAGCAGAGGTACCCACAGCAACAATCCTGTGCACGGGGCACGCTAAGATGTCGCAGATCAATAACATGGCTCTTACTTCTTCAGCAACACATCCTGCCTACATTGCCTGAAGCACTCAAAGATTTGTGGACCGGGTGCAGTGGCCTTCTAAATGTTTTCTTACAGTAATGCAAAAAAACATTCACAGCATGAGTTCCAGAAAGATGTTGCATTAATAATTGATATAAGATGCACTGTGTTAAATTAAGTCCTTAAACAGGCATTGCACTCTGGTCCACAAATGAAATAAATATATAGTTTAAGGCCTGTTTTTTTTTTTTTTTGTAAATACCTCAGAACTAGGACTGTGCTAATATTGCTAATATTTGGAAATGTCCTAGTTGGTTTAAGCCCGCTGTTTGTTGCATTACAACCACAAACCTCATTGTACCATATTGAGTTTAAAATGACTGAGCAAGTCTAAAGTGAAAGTTTAAAATGTTCATCTGGATCCTGTCTTGGAACTAAGGTCCATAAAGTTACAGCTTAACTATTTTTTGGGTGGGTCTTTATTGGATTTGCACTTCCATATGCCATTTTTGTTATTTCACCAATTCTACTGTGGATGTAGTGTCAGGATCCTTCTGCAGCCAATAGAAATAGTTTCTTTCTCCCCCTAAATTTGTCTATTTATTTCTATTTATCTTCCCATCAACTCTTACTGTTTTTCTTGTCCCTAAAGAGAAAGAGCATACATGATTGTGTCACCTTTGTATGTCACAGTGGTGATGCACACCTCCTATAGTTAAATAGATTTAGTAAAAAAAAAAAAGTTCAGTTTAGGTCAACAGGACAGACCCTTTCTGTCCTTTTGACAAGAACGGGTCTTCTAAGGTGTGGATCTCTGCTGCCTTTCCAGCATAACTTTGAGCCTCTTGGTTGCCCTAGTAATGCTGCCCTCACCCAGATAGTCACTTTAGGTGTAGGCCAATTCTTTGTAGTCATGCTTTTGATGAAAACACAAAGATTAAGCCTTTTAGGATTATTTTGTAATCCAACCATGCTTTAAATATATTAAATACAAAGACGCTTCTTATGTTTCCCAATTTCAGTCCAAGCAAGTTGCTATTGGTCTATCACAAAAATCACAGGCTTATGGCTGTAATGTAACAATATGGGTTATGGATACTATTGCAGGGCAGTGTTTACATTTTCAGTAACCTGAATTTTCCTCTCGCCGAAGGTCTGTGATAGTATTAAAATTTTCACAAGGAAAACCCTTGTTTTGCTACTTTATATTTATTTTTCTGGAAAACGGTTGACACTTGTGTGCATGCTCTTCCTTTTCAAATCAGCCACATCTCTCAATCAAATCAACACCTTTGTGTTGTGCTTCTACAGATTGAAGGTGATCCAGTTTGCATGCACTGTTCTCTCGATGTGCTGCTGAGAAATGTATGGTTTCCGATGCTCCAGGAGCATCCGCTTCTTTTCCATGTATGGCATGCAAAGGTCTTTCATGCTACCCCCCACATTCCCATTTTATTACTGTTTGTATGAAATGCTGCCTCCACTAAATATACTCTTGCTATTTGATTTCTAATTCAAATAGCCTGCTTATGTGTATCATACGCCAGGCAAAGAGTAAACCATCTGAAAAGATGTGAAAGTAAACGACCTTGCACTTACTTCTCTGCGGTGCATGACAGTAGCTCTGCCCATGGATCCGTGATAGTATATAACCTCTAAGCAGCTGCTGAGTGGGAGATCTCCACAAGAGCAGCTTTACTGGCAATGTTAGGAGTCAATCTTTTGTAGAGCCAGCCTGCCAAATAGCTTTCCTCTTGTAAGCGGTTGACCTCAAATAGCCTGACTTGGCTTGTGGTGATTGGTACTGAGTGTTTAAAAATGCCTTTTGTATTGCTGCCCTTTGAAGCCAATGTTCTCATACCTATACAGTTTGCTGAGGGGATTAAGGTGGTTTCTGTGATATTTGCAAAACCATTTTTTTTGCTGTTCAAGCACCTTCGTTGTAGTCTTTATTTGTATTTTGCTGATTCAGGGGCAAAGACAGAGATAACAGGGCATTCCTAAGGGCAGAAACGGTTATTATTGCACAGAGGTTCTCTTTAATTCAGCTGTTCTGACCTTCGCTTAATGTAAATCTTTGTTTCCTTGTTTTGTCAGTTTCATCATTTTAGTGACTGGTATAACAAGAACCCAAGTTTTTTCTGTTTCCTCTTCTCTACTAACAAACTCTTTTCTAACAGAATTAGGTTGTCATTCTGCTGTTTTCCAAATGCCACCTATTTTCCACATGGTGTAATGCTGCTCTTAACCCCAAAGGTGTTTTAGCGCAATGAAACCAAAGCAGACTGCTGTTTGAATAAAAGACACCTGGTGTCATTTAATTGATTTTTACATCAACAAAATGCCGATTTAGCTCTGATCATGGGAAAGCAATCCCAGCTTTTCAGATTCTCTTAGCAGTGACAGATAGTTTTAACATTTCCTGTTGACAAGTAGAAATATACAAGCCAAACTTCTTAAAGGAACTAGAAAAGGATATCCAGTTGTCTTCTGTTCAAGCACTGAGAGCTCCTCTTTTCCTCGCTGACTGAGAAATCCACACCAGAAAGAGAAGATTGAATGCCTGCCATTTTCCAAGAATACCAACATGTCTCCATCTATTTAACTACTTTAACCTCACTGTCAGCAGTAAAATGGGCTTTCGGGATCGGATCCGGATGAACAACTCCCGTTCATCCCAAACCATCCGAAACAAAGCCTCACCTCTGCCCCCCGGCTCCGGTGTTCGCCGCTCCCCCAGCCAGGAGAACGTACCTGAAGCCACCAGCCCTGGAAAGGTCCAAAAGAGCTGGAGCTTTAACGACCGCACTCGTTTCCGCACCTCCCTTCGCCTCAAGCCACGTCCACCTATTGATGGTAAGCTGATATTGCACATATTCTTAGAGCTTACAATAAATGTGTTAATGGTTGTCTTTTACTCATGCACATCAGTGGAGGGATTGGGAGAGGAAAGCGTGGAAGACAAGTCATATTGTGATGTGGCCATGGACGAGGTGATTCCAGCAGTGAAGACGCTTATACGAGCTGTCAGGTGGGTCCTTTAACCAAGGGGATGCTTTCAACCCTAATTTATCTGCCGTCTTGACTCTCATCTTTAGGTTCACAATAAGAGATTATCTAATCTGAAAGCTGTTTTGACAAATCTCAAGACAGTTGTCAGTTTTGTTGACCTACAAGTAGCAGTTGGTCAGCAGTGTCTGTTTTCTGCTTTATTTAGTTTCCATGGTAATCAACATCTTTGCTTCTTTTCCTGCTTTAGATTTTAAATCAGAACTTAAGCTTTCAACTGTCATTTAATGGGCTGATAACATCAAAAGTAGCCGTTTTGTATGTAGTCACTGGTGTTAACAAAATTCAAGGTATGAATGTAAGGAGGAGCACTTGTGGGGAAAAAGAACCTTTGTAGCCGTTTCTTGGTCACATTCTTATTGTTATTTAACTTGTCTTGATCTCTAAGCCATGATTAAGCTGTTTAGCCTCTGTCAGAGCAAACTGCATCCTTACACTTCCATCCATTCCAAGCGAGCTGGCTGCTTCCTAAGTAGGTGAACATACAGTAGAATGTTTTGAATTGCTGCATCCACAGCAAAAAGTGTGGTTTTAGTCATAAACAATCACATTAAGCATGCTCATGTTTATACAGGCCAAAAAAAAAAAAAAGAAACGTATATAGTGTAACCGACATTTAGCTGATCAAGCAGAAGTGTCCACTTTAAGGTAACAGATCTACTGCAGGCATGGTTAGTTTCCCCATGTGACCTTGTCAGTCAGTGAGCCCAGCAGGCTGCAGTTGGTCACATGTGAGGCTGGTGTGATGGGGATGCTTATTAGTAAATATACATAAACACAAAAAGACAGAGATGAAAACAGTATCTAGATGGATCACAATATAATATGGCTGAAAGGGAAATCATGTTTTACCGCTCTGACAAGGTCAACTGTAGCAAATTGTGATTAAGGGCTTTTGTGATATTTAAGCCAGTTTCTGATATTGTAGTATCTCTTCCTGAAATGGAAGCAATGCTGGAGTATGCCACTCAAGGACAGTTTTTGTAAATACAAAAATGTAAAAATAAACCACTCTATGATATAAATACAATAATAGTTCTTAATTTACCCAGTAAATATAACAATTGAATTAGAAGTGTACAGCCGGTGAGAAAGAGTTGCATGAAAGGTTTTTTTTAAAGAATATTTTTATCCAACATGATCCTCCATCATGGTTTGCTGTAGTACCAACACTTTCTTAAGGTCATGTGTCATGAAGAGGGACAGATGAACCCAGTATTCAAGGTGAGACAGTCAGTAGGAAACTTGAAAAATGTTTATTGAAATAAAAACATAAACAGACGCAACAAAAGTGGAGCTGCTGAGGATTTGTGGCTCGCTGCGACTGCAGGAGGGGGGCGGGGCACCGGCCAATCTCAGACACTCTGGTTATGGGAGAAACAGAGGTAAGTCACTTACCTGGTTTAACAGTTCAGTCCAATCCCACTCTTCCTTGAAAGGGGTGCAATCCAGCCACTGGACTGCCAACTGACGCAGCGTGCGTCACCCAGAGTGTCCCCGGAGCTGAAACCCTGGAGGACTTGCAGGAAGCTGATCAGAGCCAAGGGCAGACAGATCAGACAGGAACAGGAACCCAAGAGCTCCCAGGCTGGTTCAGAGTCCAATGGAGTCCAGAAGGGTGAACAGGCGGACACGCACAGAAGCAGACAGGCTCAGATGCAGACGGGCAGGCTCAGTGGTAGAGGGTAACCGAGACAGGACGTGGAACCAGAACTTGATGCCGGAAACCTTAAACTGGTCTCCTCCTTGGAGCCAGGCTTACAGGAATAAAAGCTGAACCTCCCCACGTTCCGAGCCAAAACCCTGAGAACTCCAAAGGGGAGGAACAGTGAATGATCAGGAGACAAGACAGACGCAAAACACTCTTTCCTCTGGCCGCCATGATCCAGACCAGGACATGAACCGTGGAGTAAACTAAAATACAACTGAACAGAGGGACTAACAGAGAAACAAATAATGATCTGGACCCGAATGCTCAGGCTGAACTGAATATAAAGAAAAGGAAACAGGGGAAAGGAATAAATGATAATTACAGCAGGGAGGGAAAATGGCAGGTGAAATAAATAAATAAACATTTAAGGTTGAGGAATCAGGCCAGATCATGACATGATGTGTTTCCTTTTGAGATGTTTTGTCTGCCATACGATCTGCCAAAATAGTTCTATAAAGGTAATAGCAGCTTTTTCTACAGCATTATGTGATGATATATTCCCTTTCAACCTATAAGACATAACATATTGCTAGATTACAGAATACATTACATGTATAAAGTTTTACCTATCTTTCAGAGTTAAACCAAGACATTGTAGTTATTTTTGCTCCAAATTTCTTCATGTTTCCAAGTTTTTGAGCTTTAGTTGTAGTTATTGGATGTTGGTAGATTTCTTCAGATTATCATCTTACTTCAAATAAGGTTTAAGCCTCTTTGACAGGGAAATATTTAAAAGAAACTGCACGGAAAGCCATTACAGAAGGCAATCGTTGACTTTTTGCAAAGAAATCAAAGGTCTGCTAGCTTGTAATGAATCTGCCCTCACATGAATTTGGCAGCAAATCATTCCAAGCATTTATGTCAAATGTTACTGATGAGAACAGCACTTTTATACTCTCTTCTATTAACCAATTTTCTTCTCAGCGATATTCAAGATGTTGATATCAACACAAAAACAGTCCCCTGAGAAACCCTTTGGCTTTGCAGAGCCTGATATGTTGCATTTTGGCCTCTTTAAAATCTATGATAGTAAAAAAAATAGAATGGAAAATCCCTTTTGTTGTCCCACAATTTGGTAAATCGTGGAGTTACTGCAGCAGAAAGTGATAGCAAAAGCGGTCCCATAACGTGGACCACAGAAAAGTGTATAAAAAAAAAAACAGAATAAGCGACAGAGTTAAGGAAATATAAAATATTGTACTGTATAGTGTTTATACAATATAAATACTGTGCATCTGAAGAATAAATATTTTCACAGTAAAGGATATGTGAAAAAAGCAGGAACAGCAATTCAGTTCAATTCAATTCAGTTTATTTAAATTCACAACACATGCCATCTCAAGGCCCTTTACAGTTCACTAGATCATACAGGCAAATTGATTCAAGGTTTTCTATCTAAGGAAAACCAGTTGATTGCTTCGACTCATTGACTTGAAGGCAATCCCTCACACTAAACATGCGTGTAGGAACAGTGGAGAGAAACAACCCCCTTTTAACAGGAAGAAACCTCCAGCAGAACCAGGCTCAATGTGAGAAGCCATCTGCTAAGGCTGACAGGGGTTCAAGGAGACAGAAGCAGAGATACTTAAGGCAACTGTGAAAGACGACCCCGTCCAGGAAACACACAGCCAGGCAGATGAGCTCCGGGCCAGCTCCCATGTCAGAAGATGAAGAGAGCACATCCAGCCAGTCACAGTCAGAGAAAGAGGACTACACTGAAAAACAGGCTGATCTCAAACATCTATATAACATTTATGGCAGCAGCACAGCTGATATTTCTCTCCAGGAGGGTGTCAAAGCCAAACAGGAACAGGCCAGATGAAGCTACTATAAGAAAAACAGAGATGGCATAAGGTTAGAGATTGAGCTATCAAATACTGCAGAGTGGGAGAATAGAGATAGAATGATGAAAAAGGGGTCCCTATGTCCTCCAGAAGCGTACGCCTCTAGCAGCATAACTATAGAGATAGCTCAGCAGAAATGTGCAGCATGTTGACAGCAGAGATGACACTAGCATGTTATTTAACTAAGACAGAAACTGTGCAAAAATTAGCATTAATATAAGTTTGAGGTTGTTGGGAACAATGATGGTTATAAAGTCTTACAGCTGCTGGGAGGAAGGATCTTTGATTACGCTCCATGGTGCATTCAGGGAGCAGGTCTCAGAGGATGGTTTAGATTTTGCACACATAGGTTAAACTATGCACAACCATAGTTTAACCTATTCACAGTAGCACTGAAATGAGCCACCAACCCAAATGATTAATCCATGCTGATCCGTTTTTCCTAAAAAAAAAAAAAAAAAAAAAAAAAAAAAAAAACACCAATCGTGTCCTAATCTCTGTCTGATGTTTTTTTATTTTTTTTTATTTTTCTTTTTTATGCATAAAACAGAGAATTCCAAGAAGTTGCAAGCATTAGCACAGACTTGCCACACCATTCAACATGCACACTCTCTCAGATTACCTGGATGAAGTTTTTTCACTGATGGTGGCAGAAAAACTACAATTGCTAGCAAACATCTGGTGCTTGGGCAGAGCTGTACTCCTGGGGGGGTTGATGAAAGCAGTTTACAATACCTCTGTTTCCAGCTCCCTGATGTCAGCACTGGAGCCTGACTGTATTGCAAGGTACTAGGAACCTGTCTAAGGAGCTCTACATTTGTAGATGCCCTTGGAAAAATGACCTTGTTCATGAACATTATTGAGTTTTTAAGATATTCCCAGAATGCTTTAGTAGGATCTATACTTCACAACAAACCCCTTTAGTTTTTCTGATTTATAGGTTTTCTGCATCATTTACCTTTTGTAAAATGTTCCAATGGAGCTCCTCACAGGATGCTCTAGTTGTAATGTTTGCATTTCGTTGCACTTCATAAAGATGTCTTACCTAGTGTTTCACCTTTCACCTAAACGGTAAAGTTTTTGGTTTAATATGTAATTGTTTAAGGACCTGTGGTCACTCCATACCTGGTTTTACTTTTCTTTGGCTAAATTCAAGCAGATTTCTAATATTATAATTTGTAGAAAAGCTTTTCTCCAGATATGTTTTGTATTTTGTAGTATGTACCAACATGTTTTACTGTGTGACAGTGTAATGCTACTGATGGGGCATAGCGCTGTCTTCTCAGCTTTGTGCTTGACTCAGCAAATAACTCTAACCTCAGCTGCTCTGTGCTGCAGACAATAGGAGGGAGGGAGTTCCTATAGATAGTGCAGGTGTGTAAACAGCAGGTGTTTTCACTGTGTTAACATACCGGTACGTTTGCATCATCTCAGCACGGCTCATGATTGATGTTAGGGAAACACAGAAAGGTTTTATTGCTGAGCCTTCACTTTAGATGCTTGTGGTTTATCAGTGCCGGACCGCTTATATAAATGTGCATGGTGCTGTGTTAATGTATTAAGAGAGAAGAAGAAGAAGAAAACAAAGCCTGAGTGCCCCTCTACTGCAACTCCCCACGTGCAAAAATGTGATGCCGTGTAACAAATTCTTGCAAGCTTGCAGTCTTTGATGAAGTGCCTGCTTTAATAGATAAATAATTTGGACACTTCCATTTATAGTGATCTGATTTCATTTGTTTTTTGTTTTTTTAGCTTTCTGCATCAACATTTTAAAACATCTATTATTTTCATGTTTTTAATGAATTTGTTGTAGATATATATTTCAACTCATAGACTAGCTTTTGTCACTTACTGTGGCGGGCACATAGTTATATCTAGAAAGACTCAAACCTGCTCCTGCATTGGCTCATTCGTCTTGGCCCACCTTGGGTACATGTCAGCAAAACAGTCATTTTTAATTCCCAGCTAAAACCTGCCATTGGAGAATATCTGGGTATCACCTTTGCTGAATTGCAGAAATGTTTGCTGGGGCTTTGCAAGCATTTTGGACTCTTCCTGACACTTCCTCGGTCCCCAGTCATCCCTGTGTTTTTCTTACATTTCAACTTCCTAGCACCGAAAAGTATGGCTTACTAAAAGTAATATCTTTTAGTAAGCCACGCCAACTGTGCTGCGCAGTGGCTGGAAATTATCTGGAAAAGGGTGGGGGCGCTGAAACCTGACTCTGTGTTATCAAAGCCATTTTAGTGACCAGGAAGGAGAGTCAGCATTTTAAAGAAACCCTTAGAGGATATAAAACCCCCCTCATTCCCTTTCAATCTTTTTATTAACCAACACCTGAGACCCACATTGGCAAAAAAAAAAAAGAATAAAATCTGCGCCTACTTGCAAATTAAGAAAAGGCGGCTTGCAAAAAATACCCCAAGCGCATAAGTCATCAAGAAGCCAAGTGCTGCGCATGGAGAAGGAGGGCTATGACGCCTGCAGGTCACCATTAGCTCCTCCCCTTTCTTCACATTTTCCTGATTAATTCAAAAGTTATCCTCTTTATAGGTTATCCTAGTGCTGGTTTACATGGATTTGTTGTTGGAAGACTATTAATCTTTATATTTATTACTCATCAGCTAAATTTCAACACATTTTAGATGCATTGCCATTTCATGACGTTTTTAAATTCGCTGCATTAAAAGGTACAAGGTAACTTTGATACCTGTAGGTATATATTTTTCGTAGTCTCGAAAAGGGAATCTCAAACATTTTGAACAAACCTAAAAAAAACCCAAAAAACTAAAACAAAAAATAAATAAAACAACACAAACCCAGACATTACACACACACTAGTAGTAGTGGTACTAGTCATAGTTAAAAGATAAACAATACATAGAGCACCATTTATAGTGCTAACACCACAAACTATGTGCCTTTTAATGGTTTTCTACTCAATAGATCAACACAGGGTCTTTATTTTGTGGTGGAAGAAAATGATATGCAGAAGACCTTCATGGTCTTTTGCACGCAGACCCAATATGTTCAGTTTTGGTCTCAGCGGAGCAAGCTACATTCTTCCATATGTTCTCCACATGATTTGTAGTAAAATGCAAATTATAGTCCTCCTGGTGTTTTTTTTTTTTTTTTCATTAATGGCCTACTTCTTTTCATACTTCCATAAAGGTCATATATACTGTTCAAATATATAAAGACAAAACTTTAAGAACACAAATAAACAAACAAAATCTTGCTGAATACGTATGGATTACGTATGGTAAGGAAGGAAATAAAGAATACCACATCCTTGGGTATGAATGAATACCCTAGGATTGTGATTCCAGGCTAACCCACAAAGGGGTTAGCCTGGAATCACAAAGAAAGTGAAACTGAAAAACTAATATGAAAGACTTGTCCAGTTTGCAAAAATATCATCAAACTCAAAGTGGTACTCAGGATTTTGCATTTTCCGTTTAAATGGTCTTTATAGGATCCTGACCAGAACATCACAGAGCTCATGTAGTCTTAGGTGACAAGGGTGGCAGATGGACCTAAACAAAGAGGTTCTATTGGATTTATGTCTTTGGAACATGAAGGCTGGTCAATGGTCTCAATTCCTTCACCTTCCAGGATTTGCCAGCACTTCTTCTACATCACCTGGCATTACCGTTAGTATTGTACACTGTAATAGTGCCAGGGCTATGACTTATTTTAAAGGTAATGAATGTGCTTGTACTAGGAATTTAAATACAGTGTTTTTATATTTATTGATTTATGAAATATAATTTTTTTGTAATGCATGTTACAACAGAGACAGAAGATACTGCAGCTCAACAACAGTTTCCTTCTCTCTTATTACCAAGTCAATGGAGTAGGAGACCACAGCTTAGTATTCCCATTCTGTAAAAACGTGGTACCAGCCTTACATAGAAATAAAATAAAAGGAAAAACAGGCATTATTAAAAGGGTCCCAGCTTTTTCTAAAATTATTTTTTTAATCTCTTCTACAAGCTTTACCTCCTCCTGCATGACCTTTTGGCAGAACCCCACTGCCAGAGCAGGTTGTGAGTGATGTTTCACCTGGTACAGTGGTGTATTCTGGGTGTGACTCCCCCACACTAGTGTGAGGGTGGTGATTATGAGCAGTGTGCATGGGGAACTGGGAGCAGCTGTGGTCTACCAGTGGCTCTCGACACAGCTGTCACAATGACAAAAGAGCAGAAACTGTGGATAGAATAGAGGTGTGTGTGATATCCTATTCGTGGAATGGTGCTAATTGCTGAAACAGCAAATCCCGATAAGAAAATGTCTCTTGCAGAAGCGCTCATCGTTTCAATATATCCACATGGTTTAGTAGGTTTGTGACTGCTTTCTTTATGGGCCTGTTTGTGAATGATAAGGTCATGCTGACTTTAATTAATCTTGTTATTCTCAGGGTGGCCTGCATTATTTCATAGCCTCCTGCTTCGGCATTTTTCTAAAGGTTTACAGTTCTGCTGTGAGCTTCCTGTTCTGTTTCAAACTCTGTTCAGAAAGGTTAAAAAAGAATAAGAGTGGTGTTGTGTTTGTGTGTGCAGGATACTGAAGTTCCTTGTTGCAAAGAGGAAGTTTAAGGAGACTCTCCGTCCATACGATGTGAAGGATGTCATAGAGCAGTACTCTGCAGGACACCTGGACATGCTGGGCCGCATCAAGAGCTTGCAAATTAGGTACCTTAATCTTCACATAACACGAGTCAATATCTTTAAATCTGAGCTATAAAAAGCTGTTATGATACATTTGTGTGCCTTTAACACTTTGTGATCTAAAGACTTGACGCTTATGAGTTATTTTAAATGATTCCTCATACTGTACCAATATATAGTGCCTGACACTATCAATGTGACGAGTGGAGCTCCTCTTTTGAAATACTGCCTATGTAAGTTGAGAGAAGACGCACGATCATTGACCAGGTCATGTGACCTGGAAGAACGCTGCTGGTCCTCTGTGCCATGCGGCATAGTTCGGCCTGTCCCACCCTGCTCTCCATAGAGCAGCAGCATTTCTCCAGCCCACTGAGCTAAACCTAGACGCCTAGCGCAGTCCTCAATTAAAACACATGGGAGGCTGGATGGCTGACTATTAAGTATGGCAACAGTACTGCGGCACTTGTGGCCAATAAGGGTGCTAGACATGAAAGTTACAGGTCTAGTGCCCCTAGTGGCCACAAGTTACACTGCCTTTAAATATACAACGATTATAAATACTTAGAATGCTCTGGCTCAATTTTTTTAACATTTCAGTACTTGAAATGAATTTTTCTTTAAAAGTTCCTAATTTAGGTTAAAAATAGAGATGATCTATAACCCATAGCACTATAATTACCGGTATACACTTAAACAAGGCCTAAATGCAGTAGCATACTGCTTACAATGACTTGTAAAGTGTTAACATCCCAGTAGCTTCTGTAATATTACAAACCGTAATGCACTACTTTAGGTTTCATAAAAAAGAGAGAAATGTGTTTCCCACCAAAAGTGGAAGGAGCAGATCTGATTAGATCAGACCAACAAAACATTTTTGTACATCAGCCAAACTGGGAGTGTCTAAAGTGCTGCCCGGTGGCAGTTTCCAGCACCTGCACAGATTTTAGTTTCCAGCATATATGTGGCCCCCAACTGAACTTAAGGAATGATGCTACATTTGGCATCTAGAACAGGAAATAAAGGCAAATGCTGACTTTTTATTTTTAATTAGGACAGAATTGTTGCAGAAAACATAACATCTTTGAATAAAAGGCCTTGACTTGGTCTTGCCTTATGGGGTCTTAACTACAACACTGTCAGACGTGATAATTACCAGAATGCATGGTTTCTGACCTTAGAAATTTTAATTGCACTGGTAAATTCAGGGGTAGGATAAGGTAAGAATGAAAAAGGATAGGATAAGGTAAGAAAGAAAAGTATTGGATGAAAGAGTTATCTGTCTGTGTAAAAGGGTGGATCAGATAATTGGCCGAGGACCTGTTCAGCCTGATAAGAAAGCACGTCCTGAAAAAGGAGAGAAGACGCCTCCAGAGCTGGACCCGCTGGATGAGTTCAGCATGATGGGCCGTGTGGTCAAAGTGGAGAAGCAGGTACCATCAAAACGACACTACTTGAAGAATATGTGTGAAATGAAATCATAAATAATGTGGCTGACATCTCACAGTTCGGTATCGGTCTGCATTTGTTTAGGTACAGTCTATTGAAAACAAGCTGGACCTCATGCTTAACTTCTACTCCCAGTGCTTAAAGAAAGGCTCTTCCCACGTCACACTGTCCTCCCTTCTGGACCCCGACCTGACATCTGATTACCACAGCCCCACAGACCAAAGAGACCTCTTCCCATCTGCTAACACGCTCAACATCTCTCAGTCTGACAGCGGGAACTTGGAATGACAATGAATCAGATGTCAGGACACAGAAACTAACCCTTTACAGTATGTCCTCCTAAGGCTGAGCCCTGCCTCTGAGCAGCCCAACATAACAGACTTCCTCTTCAATTCAAATTTATCCTGTTTGGCCTTCCTAATCTCAAATCTCCATATTCTTCTTCCTGGAGTCTGTGAAGCTAATCAGACAATGACCACCAGGTGGCTCTAGCTAACGAGGAGCCTCAGCCAAAGCTGCTCACCACACACGCCTCTCAACTCACTTGATGAAGAAACTACTTGACTACTGAAGCTGTTTCACCCACTCACATCATGCTGTATCTGTTCGTACTTTAAAACATCAATAGTGGACTATGGAAGGAAGTTTTCAAAAATATTTGGAGGGATCTTCTCCTTCCTCTGTTTTATCCTTTTTTCTCTTAGGCTCTTGAATTGATGGAATGTCATTTAGGAAACATTGCCATTAAGCTATTAGGGTGACAACACAGTTCTTCATACTGTGATGAATGTAGCTTTTTTTTGTGCAAGATAAACTTAAAAACACAAACAAGAGCCATAAACACGGGAAGAAAGTGCACATTTGGACCTGGCTTATCTTCACCAGCTCAAGGTCCCATCCAAACAGGGGAAATTCTGTTTTCCAAATCCTACATTAATCACTGAAATGTTTCACATCAGAACTAAGTGAAAATAAACAGCTGGATTGATTGTGGAGCTAGACTTTAGCATAAGCTACTTTAGTGTAAATTTCTGTTTGTTTTTACTTCTGGTCTACAACAAGCCCAACTGCAAAAAAAAAGAAAAGAAAGAAGCATTGTTTCCAGCTAAGACGGCGTTATATCGAGGATTATGTAGGACTTAATAGACCACTGTGTTACATTTTAATTCTCAAAACTTTTCAAGACCTTTGTGCAAACAATAAGCTATTAGTGCCCCAATTTATTCAAATTTATTTAACAAATCTCTAGATGCTCATGTCTTGCAGCCCACACTCCTGCTATATTCATTCATTGGGCTTGCCTTTAAAGGAAAAAGATAGAATCTTCCAAAAGACGTTCTGCTAAAATATCACTAAAAGTTTAATATATCTTCAAAATAACGCTCTCCCTGTGTCTTTGTTTAGGATTAATGTACGGTAGATCTTTGGACCCAGAAGCTAGAGCAGAATATCTGCCTTTTTGCTAATTTGCCTTGAAAATGCCTAAATCGATATCGGTCGTATATTGAAATATAGTTTTCTTTATTTGGAATTGTTTTTAACAACACAAACGGAAATAATTTGAAAAAGGGGCTAAAAATGAACAGAGTGCTAGAAAGGAGTTGAATAAGGAATTAAATTTACTTAAAAAACTAGGATCTATACAGTAAAGATCAATACATTATATTTGAACTTATAAGATGAAATGTATTATTTTATTTAAGTTTGACCTTTGAAGAAAAGAAAAAACAGAACCCCCCCCCACCAAGAATAAGGATTTCTAATTTTTGTATCATACACACCAGAACAACCCCAAATAATGTAAAGATGGCTTATTACTATTATGATTTCTATCTGATACATATGCAAAATACATAGTCTAACAAGTTTAGGCTAGAATCAGCCAAGGATCAAAAATTTATATCTTTTCCATTTTGTCACTAGAGTGGAAACATCATTCTTGGCCCTGTGATTAATTTGGAACCAAGCTATAAACGGGTTCTAAATGGGGATGTTGTTTTACACAGGAAGGAATTTGGATAATAAAGGTGTGTGGTTCTAAATACCGTCTCATAGCTGCAAACAGTTGTTGTTTTGACCAGAAGGTCAGCTAACACCAACGGGCTTTCAGTTCTGGCACAGTTTGCTTGATGGCTGAGAGATTCCTGGCTGACTACAGTAAAGCCCAAAATGATTTAATACCCATTTGACTGAGTTTAAAAATGATTTTCATTGAACAAACATGTCTAGGTTTCACATGGAATGCATCAATCATCTCCCAGAAAAAAGTAAAACAATATAAAAAAGTATAAGTTCAAGAGGAAAGATTTTATTAGTTTTTAATTTTAATTAAAAATGTATACACTCTTCTAAATAGAGGACAAACTTAACTGGTTATACATTGATCAAATCTTTCATGTAATCTGATTTAGTTCACTTCTGCTGGTATTTTGATGATCCATCCTTATTATTAACCTAATCTTTAGCTCCCTCCACAGGTTCCTGTTTAGAAAACATATTGATAAATTTAAAAGATCAATTCTGATTGGGATATGAATATGTCTGGGTTAAAAAATGGACTTAGGACATATTTAAAAATTAACAGTCTAGTAAAACTTTATATAGAAGTAGACGCATGTAAAATTTAACGTTTTAACGTTTTGGATCAGTCCTCTCTAATTGAGAACCTCTCTTTCACTCAATCTTTAATTCAGCTCCAGCAGACAGCACCAGTGACTGATAAACTAATCAGAAGCTGCTTTAGGGTGACCAGTTCTACAACCAGTGTTAAATCCTGTTCTTTTTAGTTTGTACTTATAAGAGAAATCTAATCACTAAATCACCTTTTAACTATTTTGAGGGCTTAATCATATTATTTATAAAACAGCATTTACCTTTAGGGTTTAACTCTGTGATTAATCCAAATTTGAAGTTATGAGTGAACCTGAATTTATTTAAAAGTTCATTGTGTTTCTAAAATAAGCCTTTAACTTTAATTAATCGCCTTTTCAATCTCATTTATAAGACTGCTCGGTCTGTAGGTCTTGAACCTTTTAAACAAAGCAACCTCGTAATGTCACATTTTTCCCATGTTTTAGACTTTTTGAGAGTTATTTTGACTGAATCTAAAATCCGGCAAGGACGTGTCAAAGTGGCCTAGAAAAAGAAAAGTTCTTATGTGTCTGAACGCCAATCTGAGGAGCTATTTGTGTTCTGCTAGTTTAAAAACAACTTCTGTTTTGGTTTTTCTGCCATCTTGGAATACCATTTAGCCTTTGGGTTTAATAAATCTGGATTTATTCTATAGAGATTTCAAAAGAACGTTGAACCAGTTGGAACTAAGATACGTTTTGTTAATTGTTAGAGAAACTCAATTACAACAACAACAAAAAAAAAAAAAAAATCGTGATTATCCATTTAAAGGTATGAAAGAGAATTTTCTCAGAAATAAAATTTCCAGAGGAATCTAAAATTACTTAATCGATGGATGGCATTCTTGCACTTATGGTCCCCATCTCCTACTGTTGAAAGTGGACAGGCTACGTGTTTGTCAATCAAACATTTGCATCTATGTCCCCAGTACTTTAGTTGCACTATACGCTGTTTGGCTAGCCATCTGTCATTACGCCAAAGCACGAAGAAGTACTCCTACGCTTGCTTGCTCCTGTGGCTTTTTTTGAGTTATTTGTTCTTTTGTGTAAACTTGAGCATCAATTGCCAAAAAAAATCCTAACGAACCTAACCGGAAAAGAAAGCCTTTTTTCAATGTACTCAAAAAGAGGAGAGAAAGTGGGAGAGAACGGAGCCGGCTAAGTGTGTGTTTAGCAGATTCTTTTCAGAGATGGCGTGAAGGAGCAAAAGGGTCTGAAAACGGATGTAAAACTTCTGCTGGACAGTTTAATTCTATTTAATTATGTAGTAAGTACTGTAACATTTTTAAATTATGGAACATGTAAAGTCAAAAATGCGTACAGTGATATGTTGAGAACAAAGAATATGCAGCCTGCGTTCCCTGTTGGTAGCCTAGTTTATCTACTATATGCGGCTAGTTCAAAAAGAGGTGATTAACTGCGTACGGCAGAGGTGGCAGCACTGACGCATGCGCACGATTAAAAAAATACACAAACAGCCGTTGGACATATCTTCCAGCAGAGAATCCTCTTTCCTGCCTTTAAGCTCAAAATCAGTTTCAAAAAACCGAATTTAGACATTTACTGCACTGTGTTTTCCAGCACTAATATGTGGCTTTTAAGTCAAGATCAGATGGCTCAGGCGGTCAGTAATACTCTGTCAAACTTGGTGAAATAGATGCAGTTTGTACTCACCCTTCCTTCAACAGATGATAACTGTAGAAGCAAAACTTTAAACACTGGGTACAGTTTTAAACTATTAATGAAGGAGTCCAGGTGTGATGCATGAATTCCAGATTGTTATTCTCATTAATGCACGTGCCAAGATGCTTCATGACCAACAGTGTGCTGTTGACTATCAAACTCTAACAGAATCTTTATGTTGATAAACAGTAAGGCATACAGAAAAAACATAAGCATTGAAAGGAACTCCTTTACTTAATCTACTTTAGCACTTGATTAAAAGAACACCATTTTCTTTGTGCTAAATTTAGAATTCATGTGTTAATTTTCCTTCCTTTAATTATTCCCATTTTATTTTATGAATGTTTTCTTTTTTTTAAAGTCTTGTGGTTGGTGATGTAAAGGTTGAATTTGAATTTATGTTTTTTTCCTTTGACGTAAATGCAGCATTTTTTTTTACAGAACTATAAGGATTAACACTCATCCATCCATGGACATTGATGTCATAGTTAATGTTGCACAGGTTTCCTGTATGCAACAGTTAAAACACACACAGAAACCCTCCATTATTATGATTTAGTCTAATATGAAACTTTTCCATCTCCAGTCGGGCCCAGCTGACTCAGGTGCTCCACTATTCCACTGAATTCATGCTTTAAAGCAGTGAATGTACTTTATCACTCTGCCTGTTTAGATATCTCGAGGCACCATTCAAGATTTCTGTTCATTTCAATGTAAAGGTCTTGGAAAGCTTTATTTCTCGGGATTTGAAGAGATGCCTGTTTATAGGAGGCAGTTTTATAACGAACAGTTCTGCAATGTGATTGTTTACTAGAATGTAGAGCATCATCGGGATTAATGGAAGATCACTGTATTGCATGTTGTTCCTTATGTTGCCCTTTATTAGGAAAATATCCTACAATAATGTATTCCGGAAAGAAGATCAAAACAAATAGCCTGTGCCTTCTTCCCCTTATTCTATAAATGGTGTAGTGTGGCTTTCTTTCTCCTTAAAAAAAAAAGATTGGAAATATTTAAAAGAGGTCAGTGTCTTAGAAAAAACACATGAAAAGCTTTCTGTTTATTTTATTTTATTTTTTTTGCCCATCCCTTGACAAAAAAAAAAAATCATTGTTGTGAAGATTTAATCTGTTACAACTGATGTATATTTTTCTGAGATATATTGTGATGATAATACTGTATTGTCAGCATATCATCATACCTTCATAGACATCAATATGGTATCTTTAACACCCTTCAATGTGGAGGTTGGAGGCATGGACATTTTTGTCGACACAGAAATCTCTGCAGGCATGTGTGCTGTAATAAGCATGTCACATTAGTTAAGATTGGCTTCCACACAACTACCTCTGAGGCCACTAGGGGGCACTAGTTTAGAGACCCGATTAGGAGAAACAGTTAGGGATTGTCCAACTGACTGAATGCTATGCATGAACCAATCTGCACGTTCTCTTATCTATTTATGACGTCGCATCATCCGTCCATCTTTTCACTGACTTGCTGCCATTCGACATTCCACCTCATTACTCTTTTAGCTGCTTTCCTACTGTAGGTCTTGAAGCTGCTGTTAGAATAAAGCACGAACCGAACAAGCAATAAGAAAAAAGAAAACTCATCACAAAGTCTTCCTAGTCCAAGAAACAGGGGCAGTTGGCTGAATACAATGCAATGATGGTTTGTTTTCTAATCTAATCTATATGATCTTTTAAAAGAGGTACAAAAATGTGTTTCTGCTGAGAAATTTTTTTAGAAAACTAACTTATTAATTTATTTGTTTCAATAAAGCTCTTTGGACTGTTTGTTGCTCTGGGTCTCTGATTTTTCCATTACACTATGAGACACTGAACTAGTCAGCTGTGATTACCTCATCCAAACCTTTTACAGGCTTTAACATGAATTGTTCATTTTAATACACTTTAAGGAATTTTATTGTGTTTGTAGGTGATTGCAGACACAAATAAATTCATACTTCTGGGAAAAAAATTAATTTGATGTTTCCAACAGAAGTTTTTGGTATTTAAACACACATTCACCAGCAGGTTATTAAACTCAATTCAATTTAAATAAAAATGTTTATATTGAGCATGGGCTCTTATTGAGCCGTTTTTCAGATTTCTGACTATGGAACTAAAAGGACCTTATAAAGTTTTCTAGGCATTGCATGGCCGACTATTCTTCCTGTTTTAAGAAGGAAGGTAGAAAGTCCTTTATGGATGTAGCTTCACTTGACAAAAGAAAATTACATTTTTTTTTTAAGCTACATTTTTGACTCATCTTTCTTTTTTTCGGCACTCAAAGTGTGAACTTTCCCATGCCGAAGATGTGGTAAAACAAAGTCACATTTCGTTTAACCGGATCCACGATCAGGTAGGCAAATGTTTGTTCCTCATCTTGAGTCCCAGGAAAACAAATGCCAGACTCATCCTGAGGAATAAGAACAACAGTGTGTCAGAAAACCAGTCGCTAAAAGCTTTGTTTTCTTAATTGCTTTCAAGTGTATAAGTAGTGGTTCTTAATTGGTTTTCTATGGGTTTACAGAGAGAGACCAAAGTATATCCTTATTCTATGTAAACTGGTCACTTACATAGGCACTGACTTTGAGCACAGTGGACACCACACTGATCTTTCTTGTATCTGTATCCTTTTGAACGCTGCAAAATAAAAGCATTCATGACTGATTAGAAAATATGGGAAAGTTTAGATCCATCCATCTATCCATCCAACCAGTCCAGTCCCGCATTTTAGATTTACAAATATTCTAATAATATAAATAATTTTGCAGCCTACCTTGTTTATTCAGCAATGTGTGGGGCAGGGCAGCTAGGTTATAACTTAATATCAATATTTTCTGTTGTAACTTTATGAATATTAACTCACGGAAGCACCAACTGTGTAACGGTTCATTGTAACGGTTTTATAGCATTTAAAGATTAATAATGGAAGATGTAAAGACAAGCATATCCTATTTAAAACATTTGTTTTTATCTTTATAACTTGAAGTCCTATAAAACAGCTTAAACTGTTGAATTGTGCTCACCTTATAAGGTCTTTGTATAGCTTCTTAGTGGTGCTAATGTAGGGATCAATGTTGTCCTCATACTGACAAAGCTCCCCGCCAAGACACAGGTGCTTAAAGAGGCAAAAGAGAAACTCCTTCCGTTCCGTCTTTCCAACAACATAGTAGTGCTCGGAGTCCTCTTCCTGTAACATCTGGAAGAGAAAATCAGCTTTGACATCAAACTTAGAAATAACTTAGATTCAAAGAGGCAGATGAAATAAATGCTGTAAGGATCACCTGTCGAAGTTCATCGAAATCAGGGTAGACATCATGAAAGCATTTAACTACATCACCAGAAGGCCTCAAGATCCCGCAAGAGAAGATTGGATCAAACAGCTCCATGGAGATCTTAGTACAGGGCACCAGCTCTACGCTGACAGACACAACTGGCTTCTCTACAACACACGAGCCTCTCAATATGGATTCCACTTCAAACATTTTACAGCAGATACCATCAATTTTCTGCAATCACTTATAAAAGCATATCTGAGGATGACGTACCAAGAGGCACCCGGAGTTTGTCCTCCATATTTCTCAGACTGTGAATCACCTTAGGGTCTTTAAAGAAACACTAAACAAAAAAAATGAGAATGGTATTAAGCACAGTAATGCTATACTGAAAAGATAAAAGCATGTGAACAAAATGGAGAGTACCTCATTTTAAGACAACACGGTTGCTATATTATTTGGAAAAAGGCTGAAGTCAGATTTAAATATCTTCCAGGTCTGATTAAGCATGCAAAAAGAAAGCAGAGTATGGAAAAACGTTTCTATTTTTTTTCAAGCATATAAGTAGTTTTCTAATTTCATCCATCTATTGTTTGTCCATAATCCATAACCATTAATTTTCCATCCATATACATCCATCCATTCAATGGTCTGTCCTTGGGTCTGACAAGCCATTATTTTTAAGTGCCGAAAGGAAGGCAACTGGACCTCATGTGTTCATGAAAAGAGAAGAGGACTAATCACAAGGTATGTAAGTTCTCATGATTAATATTTCCTTGATAAGTATGTACTACTCAGGATCCATCCATCCATCCATCCATCCATCCATCCATCCATCCATCCATCCATCCATCCATCCATCCATCCATCCATCCATCCATCCATCCGCAACCTTGACAAAATGTAATTTGAATATGGAAAAGTATGCCATTTTCAATGTTTTTTTTTAATTTAAAAAGGAAATAATTCTGGATATAATAAGTAATTATTCTACTGTTTGCTCTTATCACAGGGTTAAATACCGCAGTGAAGTTAGTTAGAAACTGTATATTAGATATTCAAGCTCCGTAGCTCACAGTTGATCCAATTCAGGAGCTCAGACTTCGGCCAGCCGCTCTGCTAACCAGAGGCGTAACCAGAAAATGTTTATAAGGGTGGCCAGGTAATAACCAATGAACACTGAGGGGTGGCCGAAAGTGGATAGGCAGCAGAACCTCAGGGTCAATCTATGCTGTTCCAACGGGAAAATTAACAAGCTAAACATCCATATTTTCTAAATTAAGAAAAACTATACTTTTCTACAGCCTTTGCTAACAAATAAATGCATATATTTCAACACCCGTAATTTCTAGATAAAAAGTATAGTGGATAAAACTCTTTCAGTTTTGAGATCAGGAGCGTAAATCTTTTCCATTGTCATTACTTACCTACTTATATAACATTCTGCATAAAATTTATATTTACAAGCACTAAAATCTACATAAATTGATTATTAAGTTATCATTAAAATTGTTATTTATCTATGATTTCTCGGAAGGCTCCTAGATGACTTGCAGAGACACAGTATTTTCTCTTTACCCCCTAAGACAAAATCTAGCTCTAACAAGAGCATGAATTATGTACTTATCGTCTTAATTTTAGTATATTGATGTGTATAATTAACCAAAAATGTTTTAATATTTTGAATATTTTACTTGAGAGTATTACTGCTGCCACCATCTGTATTAGAGGGAAATAAATGGTAGGGGTGGCCAATGATTGCCAACCATCTTGCTCCGCCCCTGCTGCTAACTACAGTACACGGAGCTTGAATATCTGATATCCAACATCTAACTAACTTCACTGCGGTCGGTATGCATTATATAAAGTGTCTTACCAAGGCAAACGTTTCACAGCTGTAGGGGTGAAAGTTACTGTCAAAGCTGTAAGCCTGAGCTGAGATCCTCCCAAGCATGGACCTGAGAGAAACCAACAAGCCAGTTAGACACAACTCACCCGGAGAAACGACAGAAATTCAAACAAAAACCTTTTTCGATCACCATTTCATCAAAAGGTTCAAGGTGTCTTTATCTTGTTGGAAAGAGAAGGTCTTAGCGGGAAGAGGAGTGAAAGAAAAAGTTTGCTCAAACGCGCATCCCTCTCCAGCCATTGCGAGTTCCACCTTAAAATGTCTGAAGCAGTTCTTTTTATCAAGAAGAGAACAGATTCATCAATCAAAAGTCACTGCTTGTATTTAATGGAAGGAAGGAGACTTTCCAGTTGACTCGACCTTGTTGCGGCTAGTTGTTGCCATGGTAACGGACGCGTAGAGACGTCCCAACACAAATTAGGAACTTTCTCCTCCCAACTACTGAGATGAAGAGCTTATTTTCTTTTATTATTTTCTATCATATTATTATTTTATTAATTCAATACCTATTCATACATTTTGTGGATCTATAAAATTTTCATGTGGATTTTTACCACTAGATGGCGACATTTTCCATATAAGCTCATGCTCCTTGCACTATTGTTTACTATAATATGTAGTGGTGAATATGTAGTGGTGAACTATTCATGTTATTTTAAAAAATGTAAACTGTTTTATAATAATTTTGTATAAAAGAAGAAATATTTTTATTTTTGTAACTTCTTTTTATTGAGCATTAGCACTTGAGGCACTTACTAAATCACTATTCAAGTACAGAGACAGGAGCACCTCTGTGACCTTCAACCTTAATTTCCATGAAAGCACCATGCTGAACTTAATTTAGAATTCTCCTATCTATTTTCATCTTCCATCCATTATCTGATGTGCTTGTCCCGAGTGGGGTTGCGAGGGGTGCTGGTGCCTATCTCCAGCTGTCAATGAGTGAGAGGCGGGGTACACCCTGGACAGATCGCCAGTCCATCGCAGGGCAACACAGAGACAAACAGGACAAACAACCATTCATGCACACACTCACACCAAGGAGATTTTAGAGAAGCCAATTAACCTAACAGTCATGTTTTTGTACTGTGGGAGGAAGCCGGAGTACCCGGAGAAGGGACAACATGCAAACTCCATGCAGAAAGACCCCAGGCCGGGAATCAAACCCAGAAACTTCTTGCTTGCAAGGCTGCGGTGCTACCCACTGCACCACTGAACAGCTATTTTCATCTTTACTCTTTTTATTTATTAATGACAACGTGGATTAATGAATGACAATCCCATACATTTTTGGTTAAGTCTTACTGTTTTTCTTTTTTGTATAGGCCTTGGTCTTGTTAAATATGGAAGTTAGGTCCCTCTGAAGGCAGCTGCGCCTCGGAACTTCCCATCCAGTTCTTTTCCTGGGAGCAAGGTATTTACTACTCTTAACTCAAACTGGGTAAAACCATATAAAAAAGGACTATAAAACAGGAGTAAAAAAGTAACAGCGATTATTCCAGGTCAGGCTGTTACAGGACTGAGAAACTGCTTACAGTAGGGTTGGCACAGCTGTGGGCTCAAAAAAAAGTCAGTGAGTGTCCGGCAAAGATTGAGCAAAGATTGAGCCCCGAACAAGGTCATCTCCTCCTTATACCTCATGAGTCCATGTTTTGCATCAGGTGGATGCTTAGCTCCATGCCTTGACCTTTATGCATCTTGCCTCTTTACCCCAGGATTCCACATAGCTCTCCTTTATCAGTCCATCTCCAAGATGTGCCCATATCCTTTGTATTTTTAAAGACACAAAGGCAGTCCTGATTAGATGACCTCTGTACACACAGTGACATCCACCATGTGAAGGAAGGCCTTCTACTCTGTCTAATCTGGCTAACAAAGTAACAATGCACATGATGTATAAAGAATAAACCTAACAGTCCTGAAAAGAAAAAAACCCAGAACTTGAAAAGCATGCATTTTTCTGCTATGACCATATAGGTACTTGACTGTTCATTCATTGTTACAATTAATTTACATCCTGTACAATATCTGATGTATCAGTGTTGCAGTTAAGACCACACCAACGAAGACCAAGGAACATTGAGATAGACAAGACCAACACATCTATTGACCAAGACCAATATCAATGGTTTTGGTCTCTTCCTCTAAATGTCTTGTCTCATCTTTGGCCTCTAAAGGTTTTGGTCTTGTCTCGGTACTCCTTGGGCTCATTTGGTGTGGTCTTGACTACAGCACTATTTATCACACCTTTAAGGAAGTTCTTAGAGACTTCTACATATGTTTTGTTTAGCTCTGCACAATAATCAAGTAATTCCTATCATTTCAGCTTTTCCTAAGGAGATTTGGGATTGTTTTGTTGTTCATTCCCTTAAGGGACACCCTGATCCATAATATTGAAGAGTTGGCACAGTTAAATGTGATTTTCTTAGTGGAAACCCTGGAATTATTATGCTGGAACTGTTTACTCTCTATGTTGTCAGTGGTCGCAAAGCTCTAAGCACAGGCAAAGCAGATACATGTGTTTATTGGATGGTCTAATGCCAATTGGTAAAAAGTGGTACCAAGTAATTCAAGATTTTTTTGCAAAATATTTTGCTGTCATTTAAGAATGTTCCAAATTGAATTTGGGTCCATAAATCTGCTCTTATTTAGGAATTTAAATAGTGACATACCAACAACATGGTAGAGCTTCTCATTCATTCTTTAGATGAATTTTTTTGTCCTGGCCTGTGGTGTCATCAGGATGTAATTCAGTCTATCTCCCTCATATGAACAGAACTATGTAATGGAATTTGCAATGATTTAATAGTGATAACACCAATATTACTTCACAAACCTCACTGTACCACGATTTTACAATAATAATACGTAATTGGAGTGTCTCAGTGTATGGCTTTAATGACAAAGAAAAACATACAAGGATTATTCGCTGTGTGACAGTGAGGAAACTCTTAAAGCTAAACTAACTGTGTGCATGTTTCTGTATCCAGGGTAGAGCACTACGTGACAGAGGTTTAGCAAATTGAACAAAAATATATCTTTTTTTTTTTTTTTTTACTGATTGCATTCACAGGGCTGAATGGAAACATGGCAGGAGAGAGGTCGGAAAACTTCAGAGAAATGTTGGAACCTGACTGTGATCATATCTTTCCATTGTACCTTTGCAGATTTGTCTGTTGATATGGAGCCCTTTCCGTGAAAGTTGTTTTCTGCTATGAGATAATATTTGTTTGATAAAGACATCTAACAAAAACCTCTTTGTAGATTCTTGCGAAATATTTTTCCTAGATAAGGAGACATACAGTTTTATTACTTACATTAAAGGAAAGTTTATTAAAAAACAATACCTATGATTTAGAAATACTGATCTTACTTAAAAGTGTTATGGTGGATTTTCGCAATTTTTTTAAAAAAAACAACCCCCCAAACTAAAAAAAAATGCACATGCACAACCCTGTACTTGCTCCAGATTGGGAACGCCTATTAGACCTGTGCGGGAGCATGCATAAGCCCATTTATCCTCTGGCACGCTCTATTCAAAAGTTGCTGTTCTCATAGTTCATACAGGCTTATTGTGCCTGAACATCCAACAGAAGAACAACGATCTCTGCCCAATGACCCCCAAACTCTCTGCCCAGTTACCTAGAGCACAAAGCGTAGAATGGTGCTCAGGCTTGAAGGACAATGGACAATTCATCTGGAGCATTTCGGATCTAAAAAAAAAAAAGGTAACCTTTTTCCAATGAGCTCATGGTGAGACAGATTTATGTAAGTACTGATCCTTTATGCTCAGGTAAAGTCAACAAGCTAAATCCCAGTGGAAGTGTTTTCTGACAATGTCTCCACTCCTATTAAGTCATAACAGTTATAAAAACAGCCATCACACCCAAACAATGTGATTCATTCAAGTTGGTTCAGCTACCGCTCAGCTATACACAAACAGCAACACACCTTAGATTTATCTTTCCGTTTTGTCGACTGATTAATTCTATATTTACTTGAACAATAAAAAAGAAATTATCCATGATAACATATGATGTATAGAAGTTCAGTAATATATATATATATATATATATATATATATAT